TGTTTTATTAAATTAAGTAAGAACTAATCTTAATTAATAATTTCCATATACCCTATTTTACTAGTTTCTTTACCCTTTTTTCAATATTCTTGTAATGCCCTTTCGTTCTCATAATCCTTTCCTAATTGTTTTTTACACTCCTCATACTCTATAAGAGTAGGAGTTTTAAAGGTTGGAAAGGCATCTTTCTCTGCCTCTACCCGTATTCAATCCAATCTAGTATAATCGGTTGAGATTGAACCCTTATCTAATCTACCCTTACATGAAGGGCAAACCAAACAATATTTAAGGTAAACAATCTCGGGAGTTCTTAGTTCATGCCCGGTCATATCATATGTTATTTCATTACCAAGGAATATTAATTGGGAGCAATAATCACACTTTCAAAAACCTTTTGATTTTATTTGCCAAATCCTTTCGCTCTCCTCCCACCTTTTAAACCCCTGGGTTCTTATTTCTTGGTTTGGGGGGCAACCTACCATCAATGGAAAGCAACCCGTGTGTTTTTTATCTCCAAGTTGCTTATCATTACATGGGAGGCAGAGAATACAATACAATTTAGTATTTAGAACACTATCATCAAGGCAATATCGGTTTACTTGATTATTAGGGAATGGTTTTCGGCAACTATCACAGCCATACCACCCTTGGGGTTTTTGATTGTAATTCATAGTTATAAAGTTATTTTAGGATAATTTATAGGCTTTTCTCCTTGCCTTGGGCTAGTTTTGATTTATTTTTTTGTTAGCCTCTAAATCTCTAATAAATTGTTCGTAAGTTAACGGAGCAAAATTGCCATAAGCATATTCTCGCCAAGTAGAGTTAATGATTTTTTGATGATTTTCTAAATATTCTTGGTATCACCCCTCGCGACTATGGAATTTACTCTTAAACTCTTTTAATTTATTAAGCAGTAATTGGTGTTCTTTTTCATAAAGTTTCATTTTTGGTAACAATCTTTCTACTTCTTCCTTTTCAAAACTCTCTTGACATCTAATCATCATTCAAAAAAAAGATTGGATGATTTTTCTTTCCTCGGCAGAAAATTTTTTCTCATAATCAGTGATATGCCCTACTTCATGGGCTATACAATGGAGAAACCTTTTCTTACTCCTTAAAGTGTATCAAGGAATATTAATTTCTCCAATATAATAATAAGTTCAACCCCATAAAACTCTTTTGTTAATAATAATAATGGGCTTATCTAAAATAAAAGTTAATTTTATGCTAGGAAAATAATAACTAATTATTTGATAAATAACTTTTTTGTGCTTGTTTTCTAATTGCTTGGCAGGACAATTATCTAAACAATTTGCTCCTTTACCTTCAATAAATGTAGCCGAGCAACTAGGACAATTTAACACTATTTTCTTTCTTTTTTCATCAAAAAAATACATAGTTGGGATAAGTGGTAATGGTTGAAATGATTAGCAGAATTAGTTATTTGCTTGCCAGAAAGAGGCAAATTTTCCTTAAAATCCCTATAAATATGGATAAAAGAAATAATTTTATCGTTTGTGCTTTTTGTAAAAAAGTAGTCATTAATCAGGATCCAAGCAAAAGTATTTGTTATGAACCTATCCTTTGTATTATTCATAGAGAATTGAAAAAGGATGAGGATAGTGTTTTCTCAATAATAGAGGATAGCGTTTATCATTATCGATGTTATGTAAAGAAAAATCGGAAAGAGAATAATAAATTGATAAAAGATTTGGATAAACTTGGAGTAATTCATTGTTAATTTTTCTTGCCTCTCCTCCCCTTTTTTAAGAGATAAATAAATCCTCCTACCAATACTACTCCACCAACTACTATCAAGGTAATTACTCCTCCACTTAATCCTTTTTCATTAGGTTTATTAGGATTATTTGAGGTTTGGTTTTTAAAACTCCTTAACCTCTCCAACTTTCCATCAATATCCTTTTTAATATTTTGTAAATCAGTAAGATTAGTATTTACATCACTGAGGGCTTGCTGTTTTTGTTGAGGATTAAGGTTAGGGTTATTGCTAATACTATTTACTAATCCTTGTAAGTTTAAGGATAATTGGCTAAGGGTAGTAGCTAATTGATTAAGTAGAGTTAGTTGTTGGTTAATTATTTGTTGAGTAGGTTTATTTAGAGGGTTTGATTGGGAAGCAGAACACTCATAAAGTTCATGTAAGGAAAGATTATTGTAAGAGGAATATTTGCCACATTTAGAACATTTTAAGCACTGGTGATTTTTGTTGTTTAGTTCAGAATTAGTAATTTCTAACTTACAAGTAGGACATTGCCAAGTTTCTAATTGTTCGGTTCTAGTCCCAGTTCAGACATTAGGAATAGCCTCCAAGATTGTTCGGTAAAAAGCGGATAAGTAATGTTTATAAGAAGTAGGAAAAACTTCTACTAACTTTTGTTTATCCTCTGTGGCATTAAAAAAATCATTGCTTATTTCTTCCTTTACTACTTTTTGAAGTTTTTGGGGTTCTTGGCTAATCTGACCCATATTTTCTCATTTTTCTTTTGCGGAAAGGGTTTGATTTTGGTCGCTAGTATTTACCACTTTGTCCGCTAACACTTCATCACATTCGGCTAAAAACCCAGTTAAATTATCCGCAAAATCATAATAACCAGTTTGGTCGCAATACTTTACTTTATAAGATAGCCAGTGAATAAATCCTAAAACTAAATCTTTTTCTTTTTCCGAAGCAGTTAGTAAAGGGGTTAATTTTTCTTTGGCTTGTCGAGCATCTTCCTTACTTAAATACTTTACTCAAATAGGAACATAAACACAAAACCTTCAACTGTTTCCACTACCAAAGGCCTTATCACTATTAGGTAAATTGTAAGCAGTGGCTCCCTCACGAGGGTTAAGCAACTTATCCTTTAACTGGGAAAGGAAATCAGTAGCAGATTTATATTTTTCCTGAATGTCCCTGATTTCTTTTGCTTTCGCTTCTCGTTCGGCTTTTTCAGCAGGACAATCTGAACCACAACTTACCCTTGAATATGGTTCTTTTTCATCAGAATATTTTCCAAAGGGTGTTGTGCTTATTATGCTATAACGCTTACCAGTCAAATCCTTACCACACTTCGGACAATGGATATTATTCTTACCTAAATCTTGGCTATTCTTGGCAAACATTTCGCATCTTTTCTTACATTTAGCACACGAACCTTTGGGAGGAAGTTGATTATCCTCTCTTGGGGGTGGCTCATTATCCCTTTTTTGTTTACAATTAGCACAGATTTTAATTTCTTTGCCCTGGTCTTGGATAGTTAATAACTCATTAGGTTTTTTAAGGGTCTGGCAGTTGGCACACTTTTTACTACCATCTCCTCCTTTGTTTTTACACCCCGAGCAAACTTTTATCTTTTTACCATCTTTTTCGGTAATTGTTAAACTTTTTTGCCATTCATCTCATTTGGCAATATCATCACATTTTTTTTGACATTTATCGCACTTGGTATATTCAAAAGCACAATTCTTACAAAGTAGACTGGTTTTTTGGGTTCCCTCCTCGGTTAATTCAACCTCGGCTGAATTCCTTTGACATTTTTCACACTGGGATTGATTTTCGTCTCTCTCTCTCTCTCTCTCTCTCTCTCTCTGTTGAATACTAATACCCAAATACCATTACCATCTTTTTTACATAATTCGAAATGTTTAATATTTATACAAAGACCACATCAGCCTCCGGTATTTAAGTATTCCCCAGTCTGTTCGTTTTTGATAGCCATTGTGGATTTTGGACTTTCAGATTTATTTTTATTACAATTAGGACATTTTGGAACTGGTTCTGTCATATATTTATAATTTTAAGTTTAATGGATAAAAGAAAGATTAAAAGAAACTTTGAAAGACTATTTAAAAGAATGATTGGAATTATCATCCTACAATCCATGGATAAAAATTAGTAAGCAAGGGTAAAGAAACTAGTAAAATAGGGTATATGGAAATTATTAATTAAGATTAGTTCTTACTTAATTTAATAAAACA